GTTGAAGGAGTAAATTATGATCCACAGTATCAAATGCCTTGGCCAAATCTAAAAAGACAGTTATGCATTTTTGTTGATTGTGAAAACAGTTGTTGATTCGGTCAACAATCTCAAAAACTGCGTTTTCTGTTGATCTGTTTTCTAGAAAATCATATTGTGATTTTCTAGAGAACAGATAAACAGATCAGAGAAACACGTGTTGGATTTTTGTGAAACTGTTTAGTGTAAATCTACAAATAATGTGTAATTTTAATGGGCTCATTCCATTACATATAATGACTAAATGATTCTCTTTCTCATTGTTTCATATCTTCTTCATCATATAAAAAGTCACGGTTTTGGAGTTGCATGGAATACTTCCTTTGATTTTTTCGAATGCATTTCGATAATTTTTTTCCATAATTACTATAAGAAAAACTCATAATAGTGAGAAACTGTAAAGCTGTGGGCACAAAAATGGTGACGGCCAAGCGATGGAGACGCGACGCGACGGCGGAACGCTGGCGATGCATACAACAATATCGACAGTATAGGTGACATTCACGATACGAGCGATGGCATTTCGTGTCTACGCGAGATACTTCTTCTCATCGCCCCACTCTGCGTCACCCCCCAGTCGCCTTCGCTGGACCGTCGCGATTTTCGTGCCTGCAGCCTGTTGAATGTAGATTAACTGATGGTATTTTTCAATGTGGACTCAAAAAACCCCCATCGTAGGGATTTATTGCCGCTTCTTCCGGAATTAGATATAATCAATTTCTGGGACAGAACCTGTCATTGACATCGCTTTAGGCTTTGCCAAACAAAGATTGAACACCTGCATGGCGATAAGATTTATGGACTTCTGACCTGAAAGATCACTCACCATACAAACTTATCGGCTTCGTTAAGAAGCTGGGGTTATTTGGTCGAATGTGAATAGGTGTGAGCCACAATAAACCTTTACGGATTTCACTGGAGGCTCAAATAGACTCACTCACTCTGGACCTAACCGAACCGAACCTAATCGAAGGAAAAGTTAGTTCATAGTCATTTCAATTTCTAAGTTTCATGGGTAAAAACGCATAGGTATTGAAAAATCGTTTCACCGCTGTTCTGCAACGCACATGAGAGTCTTATAGAAAAGATGAAAAAAATTCTCACCTGTAAGTCACGATATCTAATGGATGACTGAACTCGGGGGGATGCCATGTAATGGTAACCCATGTAGCACTGTGACTTGCAACTTTTCCGCCAGAATATCATTTTTGGTTCCGGCTGGGCTTCTACTTTGCATTCGAGAGTAACTGAGTCTCCTAAAGTTGTCATTGTTATACCACTCGCTTGAATGTGCGGTCCATCTGCAAATAAATTCTCTAATGAACAATGGCTATTCTTATCGGGTACTCTGTATATCCATAGGATATCTGTGTCATGTCCAACGGATGTTCTATGAATTATCCTAGGATGTTCAGAGGCCACTGAGTTCAACTGCCATAGGATATCTTTCATGTTCGGAAGACACTGACTTGGACATCCACAGGATATCCATTATGGATATATATATAAAATATTCATTGATGACGTGTGTTGTGATTTATTCATTTCGGCTCACCATATAGATATGTGGAAGAGCAATATCAGTTTTGAAACTTTAAGAAGAATGTCATAGATGTTGTTTTTGTAATTGTCAAGTATTGTGTTATAGAAGGTGTAACTGAATAAGTGTGAACCATTCAAGGTGATTCCTCATTGAAAAAAAGATAGGAACTTTCATATAAAGAAACTTCATTGGAGCATCCCTTGTCAAGATACAGCCCCTTAAAGGGGGTACATAAAATTTGTATAACAATTTTTTTCACCAGCACTGAAGAAATCACAATATTGAAATCAACCAGACGTTTTGTACTACCCCATGGTTGTAAGGGATGGAAAACGCAACCTCTAAAATGTTCCCAAAGTAACTTTTTGCCTTATTATTTGTTTACCATTAGAAAATTTATTTTGGCGCTAGCCTGTTTCATTCTGAACAAAAATTGTCTCTTTGGTTTTTTGCCCAAAATAAACCAGTTCGCAGCAAAAAATTATTTTACGAACAACTACAGAGATACATCGTCATAAATGCGAACTGGATTTATTGTTATTTTGTAGTTAGTTATATGATGGAATCGGCCGATACTTGATGAGAATCCATAACTAACGTATTCCAAAAACACTTCATTGTGAGATTTTCACTAACTTGTTTTACAAAAACGCAACACGTGTTTCGCCATACAATGCCTTCATCTGGTGTGTCTTTCAACTCAAGACATCTGGCGTGTCTTTCAACTCAACTCAGTTGAAAGACACGCCAGATGAAGCCATTGTATGGCGAAACACGTGTTGCGTTTTTGTAAAACAAGTTAGTGAAAATCTCACAATAAAGTGTTTTTGGAATACGTTTGTAGTTAGTACCTGCATTAAACGATTAAAGGGCAATAAACAAAACTAATTTATTAATAACAAAACAGACAACATGTAAAAATCATAGAAAATGTTCAATATGTCTACCTTAAGACATTACGCATGCGTCTAGACGTCGGCGCATTGAGCCACGTATTCGCTCAAATATTCCTGGAGTCTCTCTGATTTACCCTGCACGTATCGATGATGCGGTTTCTTAAGTCCTCTACATCGCAAACAGGAGTACGATAAACCAACTGCTGTAACCCCGAATAGAGAAATCGAGAGGATTGGGATCCAGGGATCGACCGGGCCAGTTATGTGGTCCCCCTCGACCTATCCACTGATTTGCATATGTTTCAGTTAAATGCTGACATGCTATTTGACTGAAATGGGCAGGAACCCCATCATGCATAAAAAACATATCCCTTCTGACGCCCAAAGGAACTTTCTCCAGCGGTACTGGATGCACTTCTCTTAAAAATTGAACATATGCCTCACCATTTAATCGAGGAGTTAGAAAATGAGGCCCAATTAAATCATCCCCAATAACTCCGAGCCACACGTTGAGAGAAAACTGTTCTTGATGGTTAGTTTCGACAATAGCGTGAGGGTTTTCATTAGCCCATATGTGGTAATTATGAAAATTAATAATCTTGCCCCGAGAAATCTACATTTGTTTGTGAATTCTATCGTCTTCAGAAAGTCACAATTTATTCTAATCATTTCCAGCTTCCAATTGCAAAATTCAAGACGGTTCGGAATTTCTCGCGGTAACAGTGCCTGTACCTGTTGCAGATGGTAAGGGTATGAGAGTTGTTCCTTTAAAATTCGAAATACAGTCATATGATCAACATTTAGCTGGAGAGCAATCTTTCTAGTACTGGTAGTGGTTTGTTTTTCAATCAAATGAGGAATCACCTCCTTGAATGTTTTACACTTATTTACTTACACCCTGTATTCTTGTATTTTTTTATGTATAGAAGTTGTATTGAACTTTTTCAAACATTTCTACAAAACCAGAAACAGAAACCGTAAATCCTGATCGACATTTCCAACACGTGCAAATGATATCTTCATGGAATGTAACAAAATGCTGAATAAAAAAACATGTTGAATTGAACAAATTGATGGATGTAGCCGGTAACTACGTGGTAGGAAATCATAATAAAGAAAAGAGAAATGAAACTTTCTATGTTTTTTAACAGTTTTATTTGTAACTAACGTTACTTTGTTCAATGTATACGTTTGAAATAAAAAAAGTTACAAATAAATGTGGTAAAAAACATAGAAAGACTTTTCTCTTTTCTTCATTGTTTTTATTGAAATGAGTATGAAACAAAATGATACTGTCCACACACGGATTATTGAATAACAATTAATTTTTTTTCCTCATTTGTTTCTTCTGTGTTGTGCTTTTTTAAATGTTATCCTTATGCTGCCTGGGAAGGATAATAGAATAGGATGGTTTTGATCTATTTGATTTTTTTATGGAATCATGGACATTTTTATGTGATTGAACTGAATCATTTATTTTTTTCAGGACAAAATACAAGAACTTCAAGAAAAACGTTATGGCGCTCTGAAAGCGGTTCCTGTGTGAAAGTAGCGATTTGAATTGCTGGAGATTAGATCCATTTGGAGAAACGTTCTGAAGAAGTTAATTTCATATGAATGCAGTTCTCCAAATGGAAGAGTTGCCAAACAGTGAAGTTTGCGGTGGAACTGAGATGAAACTCAAAATGATGAGCAGCCACAGTCCTTCTCCAACCTTTCTTTCATGTTCTAGACTATCAAGGTTGCAAGTAATGTTCGTGTCTACAACCAGGCGGACGACCATGGATGGAATGGATGGAATCCAACAGGTTCATGGTATCCTTAGGGGCGGAGCTCCATGCATGAAGACAATTATCCAGTTAAACCCTCAATAAACCTCTCGAAGCAAAAAGCAGAATTGTCTGTCCTGACTTTATTATATCCGGTTCGGAAACATTTTGAAGAAAACCGATGCCTGGGTTTTTGTGGCGTTATGTTGAACCTGGTTACTTTCAGCTTAATTCGAAATCATCGAAATCGATCCTCATTAAGATATGCAACCCCCTGCTGCCGGTAAAGATGTGCATCCGGCATACACAAAAATGGAGAGCCAAACACAAACATGTTCCGACAAGCCATAACATCGTAGTTTGACCAGCAAACCCCCATACCACACAAGGTCAAAGGCCTTCGGAATATCAAGCGCAACACCGCAACAGCTGTCCATGTAGCTCCAACAAAATAACCATTATCAATTGTTAAAGTTCGGAAGTTTCTGTTGAAATACCTTATATATGTCCAGGAAGAGCGGTTTTCAAAACATGTCGAAGAATTTCGAATGTGTTGGAAGCGAACATTTATTCAAAAAAAGAAACAGATCTGGTAATATTTTGCTGCAATATACAACACTAAAGGATGATTTCGTTACCGAGTATCATGATACTGACTCCTTTTTTCAGTAGAAATATTTATTCCGGATATTTCAATATATTCAATTCTGCAATCAAGAACTACAGAAAATAAATATTTTTTAATATACTCACGACTAATTGTTATTTTCCTAGAAGCCTGCATCGGCGTTCCGTATCCATTATCTGCGTAACAGGAAAGCTGGTCCATATCTTTGGTAACGTTGTGAATGACTGTAACCATATGTCTGGTTGTTTCTTGTCGCACGAGTCTTCCAGATATATAAAGGGAAATCGTAGGCATTGGAGTACCCATAGCGATGCAAAGAATGGTCATGCTACTTCCTTCTATAACCAGGTTGATGGGATGTACTGTGGGAGGCTAAAAGAAGTTGACCGTGATTTAGCATTTTCCAAAGTCAATATTTGACACTATTGAAAACATTTCTTGTTCAATAAATTGATATATAGATGTAACATCACTGGCTTTCGAAATTTTTCTACTGATTGAGAGTGAGAATAGAATTGTATAAACTTTGAAAAATTTTCTTGGTTACCAAATTTCTAAATGTATATATTGAAATGGATAACCGTTTTGAAGGAGAATAACCAGCATCATTGAGTGACTTAGCAAGAGTACACGGTAATGATAACCGTCACCGTTCTGCTTCTCTCAATCGGTCCATCTTGGTTTCAATCTCCACGAAGGTTGATGATGTATAAAAATAATTGGTTGTAACCAATTGTAACTAAATTGTTTCCATATCCTCTTTGGAGTTATAACTGTTGTATTATTGAAAAAAATTGAACTGTTTCATTTGTTTTGATTCTTTAGGCTGGGAAAGTGACATTTTTCTAAGATAGTCAATGCTATTCCATTCGATTATCTTCAAAAAGGAAAAACTATTACAGAAGCATACTTCGCATCATTACTTGACAAGCTGGAGGCAGAACTTACGGAAAAACGGCCACGTCTGCTGAAGAAGAAAATCTTGTTTCACCTAGACAACGCAACGTCTCACACTTCAGCAGTTTCCTCTCCACGAAATACGGTTTGAACTACGTGTTACCTCAGAGCTAGTACTAGAGTGCCACCAAGATTTAGCCAAAGCTTCGGTAGATAATAACATTATCCTGAGGTGGGTTGAAGGGCACGACAGGAGTGAAGGTAATCGCATTGTCGACTCTTCAGCTGAGGAAGCAGCTGGACTAAGAATTTTAGGACCCAGTGACATCTACGGCCTGATGACTTCGACAACTGCAGAACTGGCCAAACGTCACACCCATGCTCAATCCCTGAAGAGATGGGATGAAGATGAAGGATGCAGTCTTGCCAGAATCACCCTGGGCGAACCTGGGAAACTGGCGCCAAAAAAATATCTGGCGATGATCAGGAGGAATCTACGCCTGTCAGTAGGATTTCTAACTAGCCACTGTCAACTTAGGAAAAACCTCCACAATATAGGGCTAGTGGACACACCTCTATGCAGGATGTGTGAACAGGAAGATGAGACTGTCAGGCATGTCCTATGTGAATGCCTGACAGCCTCCCGAGGAGGACAACTCCTCGGGAGAATGTCCAATAGGTCCATGTGGCATAAGTGATGTGGGCTTACCCTCCCTACTTTACATATATAGATACGGTTTGAACTGCTTGACCATCCGCTTTACTCACCAGATCTAGCTCCAAGCGACCTATTTTTGTTTCCTCGTCTGAAAATTGCACTCGGAGCGCCCGCTGGGAGAAGTGTGATGATATAAAAGAAGACTTTGTTGAAAAATAAAAAAAAATAACCTATCTTTGATAGGTCGCGAACTTTCCAGACCACTCTCGTATACCTCCTAGCAAAGTTCGAACATATGAAATTTCTTGAAATAAGATACTTGAGAATTTTATAGTTCGCAATGGTGGAATCACAATTGAGTTACGAATAATAGCTTGGGGAGGTGCCTACAATAATGAAATGAACGGACTCGATGTACTCCAGAAACGGATACTAAGGATAAAGATTGATTATATTCCAGTGATGAAATTTATCAAGTAGCAAAAGTTTTAGATACTAAACAATTATTCTTGAAGGTCTTGATAGTGAAGCAGACAAAACAAAAGATACAAAAATCATTATATGCACACATACTCGGAAAGGATAATGTGGGGCTCTGCCAGAGGTGACCAACTCTTCCCTTGCTACTCGTGGGAACACACATGAATGAAACAATCAATAACATAAACAACAAAAACAAAAACCAATCCCGAGGCTGGACAGAAGTGCTCACCTCAATCTCAGGCGATGACTGGGAATGAACAGAAATGTCCACCCCAATCTACCGCTTGGAATGAGGCATAGCATATCACCTCCAACGGCAAGGGCACTTTCTGCTGCGGGTGCCAAGAGCTCCGCCTTTAGTGAAGGCAAAGAACCGGTTGCTCCTGCAGGAAAGCTCCCTCACTTGTGCACCTCCACTGAGGGAATCCCAAGAAGGTTGAAAAAGCCGCGCAATGACAGTAATATCGCTGTACCTTCCAAAACCTTCGCGGAGGCCCACACCTGCCAATATGAACGAGATATCTCTTAGTGGCCTGTTCACCTTTCTGGAAAGGAAAGGATGGACGATGACCTAGGAGGAAAACTCATCGGGAGGATGTACAATGTGTCATATGTGGCATAAGTGCCTACTCTACAGATACCAGAACAATCCGCTTCCATATTTTTTAGTAACATCATTCATGAAATTTCCACTTGGGAACTTACCTTACTTTCAGTCCTAAAAGTTAACCTGCTGCTGGGCATACCGATACCGTGCACATTCACGGCTTCCACATAAATCTCGTAATCTGTTTCACTTTCGAGGCCCCCCAAAATATGGGGACTTTGAACTTTCTGTATAGTTTTGTAATCCTCAGTGTCGTCATCAATCAGCCTCTGATGAAGATTGTAGTATAGTACGGTATCTCCCAGTGTTTTCGGTAAAGACCAATGGAGAACTGCGAATTCTGTTTCTATGTTGGTGACGTAAAGACCAGTTGGAGCACTGGGTAGAACACCGTAGCCTTGAAGAAGACAGTTGTTGTATTCTCCCATGTATCGAAGACACCTAGAAACAAATCACAGAAGGAACAGAGTATAGAAAGAAAGAGATAGCAAGAAGAAAATAGAGGACGAGAAAGAGGGAGAGAGATAAAGATCTGTCTGTGATGTGCTCTGAAAGATACCTCCAATAATAGTTATTTCTTATTCAAGTTTCAAAAGAAGCATATGATAATTATTGTGAACAAATTTTTTCAACACTATTTCCAATTTGAGTTTGTTTCTCATGCCTTTCAATGCGTCAGGTAGAGTGTTGTAAAGTTTGAGTCCCAGATTGGTTATAAATTTTCGATTAGGCGTGAGTCTGCATCGTGCAACATTCATGGTCTTAACTGAACTCTTACGAGCACATTTGATTGAAGAATTATCAGTCCATAATAAAATCTGGAAAATGTAATTTTTTTTAACACCGAATATCCCAGTTTCATCATACAACGACTGGGTACAATACCTCCGATCTTTCTTCATCATGATTCTTATCAAGACATCATGCGATGTCTTGAAGGTACCACCCCATACTATCATACAGTAACGTACTATGGACTCAGCCAAGGCACCATACATCATTAGTATCATTTCCCTGTTCAGTATATTACTTAGTTTAGCTACTGTATAATCAATGTGTGCATTACACCGTATAGATTGGTCCACTGATACCCCTAGGTATTTTATTGTAATCCTTTTCTGTATAGAAGTACAGCTACAATTGGGAATATTTGCTCAAGATGTTCTGTGGATTTTTATGATGTTTGTATGTGGATGATCTCTAGTTGTTGGGACAAATGCAATGAATTTGGTTTTTCTAACATTGACACTCAATAAATTATAACTCAACCAGTTGAAAATCGTTTTAATGCCTATTTCAGACTGGGTGTATACTTCTTCCCACGTTTTTCCAACAAAAGTGATAGCTGTGTCATCAGCAAATGAAGTTATTCCACCATTGAAATCAGAAATTTTGAAGATGAAGATGTTGTTCATATATATCAGAAATAATATGGGTCCCAATACAGTTCCTTAGGGCACGCCCCGAGTAATTTTAGTGGGTCGCTGAGAGAATCGTTAACCGTGACAATATGTGTTCTATTTGTCACATAGGCTTCAACTTTTTTCAAAGCAACACCCCTCACACCAATGTTAGCTGAACGTTGATGGAGGCTATTATGATCCACAGTATCAAATGCCTTGGCCAAATCTGAAAAGACAGTTATGCATTTTTGTTGATTGTGAAAACAGTTATTGATTTGGTTAACAATCTCAGAAACTGCGTTTTCTGTTGATCTGTTTTCTAGAAAACTATATTGTGATTTTCTAGAGAACAGATAAACAGATCAGAGAAACACGTGTTGGGTTTTTGTAAAACTGTTTAGTGTAAATCTACAAATAATGTGTAATTTCAATCGGCTAATTTCTTATTGTTTCATATTTTCTTCATCATATAAAAAGTCACGGTTTTGGAGTTGCATAGAATACTTCCATTAATTTGTTTCGAATGCATTTCGATAATTTTTTCATATAAACTATCAGGAAAACTTAAAACAGTGAGAAACTATAAGGCTGTGTGCACAAAAATGGTGACGGCCAAGCGATGGCGAGGCGACGCGACGGCGGAACGCTGGCGATGCTTACAACAATATCGACAGTATGGGTGACACTCACGAAACGATCGATGGCATTTCGTGTCCACGCGAGATACTTCTTCTCATCGCCCCACTCCGCGCCACCCCGCAGTCGCCTCCGCTGGACCGTCGCGATTTTCGTGCCTGCAGCCTGTTGAATGTTGAATGTAGATTAAATGATGGTATTTTTCAATGTGGACTCAAAAAACCCTCATCGTAGGAATTTATTGCCGCTTCTTCCGGAATTAGATATAATCAATTTCTGGGCCAGAACCTGTCATTAGCATCGCTTTAGGCTTTGCCAAACAAAGATTGAACACCTGCATGGCAATAAGATTTATGGACTTCTTGGCAGAATCTTCCAGGATTGGCTCGCTCCAAAGCATTTATTCACCCTTCGAAGCTCGAAACCAAACAGTTGTTGGACTACAGTAGGGATAAACTACAATGTCTAAGAGGCCTTCTACAGGTCACTGTCATTTGAATCATCATATGTAGAGACTCGAACTGTCGGAAGACACTGTGTGTCGCTTCTGTTTGGAAAATGATGAAACAGCAGAGCACATACTTTGTGTCTACCCCGCTGGGAACCGAATCAGATTTTTAGGGTTCGGCAGAGCCGTACTCTAACCATCTGACCTGAAAGACCACTCACCATACAAACTAATCGGCTTCGTTAAGAAGCTGGGTTCATTTGGCAGAGTGTGAATACGTGTGAGTCACAATAAACGCTTGCGGGTTGCGGTGGAGGATCGAATAAACCCACTCACTCTGGACCTAACCGAACCGGTCCTAATCTGGCTTCACAGTCATTTCAATTTCTAAGTTTTATGGGTAAAAACGCATAGGTGTTGAAAAATCATGTCACCGCTGTTCTGCAACGTACATGAAAGACTTACAAAAAAGATGAATAAAATTCTCACCTGTAAGTCACGATATCTAATGGATGACTGAACTCGGGGGGATGCCATGTAATGGTAACCCATGTAGCACTGTGACTTGCAACTGCCAAGGAATGAGGTGGTGATGTGACCCCATTCACCCACTTGGTTTGGTCTAAAATGTGAATATTGTAGATGAGAAACTCTAACCTTGGACCCTAAAAACATTTGGTACTCACCAGATTTGACTAAATTTATCATAATTATAGATGACGGTAAAGAAGTGCCGTATTCATTCACTGCTACTACGAACATCTGGTACATTTTATTCTCTTCCAAATTAGTAATTGTCGCAGTAGTTTCAGTTGCGTTCATTTGCTGTAATTTGAAGTATCGGTCAGTTAGACAAGAGTCATCGAAAGAAGACACACAGGCGTCTGTCATACATTCAATCGAAACACGTTTTGAACAAAGTTAATGCAATATAAATACTCAAGCTCCATTGACAGTAATCAATTGATTGATATTGAGGAAAATATCATCTCAATGCAGCTGATGACAAATTTCATACCAACCTTTTCTAGTACGAGAGGAGTTCCATGCGTGGATGTATTATCTACTCTTTGGTAATGTATCACATATCCGGTTATGTTTGTTGAGTTTTCTGGCTCATTCCATTCCAATAAAATCGTATGTTCGTCCACTATAACCGCATGTAGAGCTGATATAGGACCAGGTATCAATCCATTTCCTATACGAAAGGTAAAAAAATAAAGGATTATTTCATCAGCGTGAAAACATGATGGTTCTTTTATGTATTTAGTTTCAATAAACCAAATAAATAATCGTTTTCGATGTGCCCGATGAATTAGGAATGATTCCATTAATCCATGATTCCATTAATCATGGAAAATTCAACTGATAAATGAAGAAAATGTTAAAAAAAAAGTTTGGTACTCAAAGGAGAGCGGATGCATAATGTACACATTTCGTCAATTTATTCAAATCAACAATTAAGTTTTTAATCTCTCAAATCAGTTTCTGTTACTTACAATGTGAATCAATCAAAAACAACAACACATAATTGTAGGTAACTAGATCTAAATTTGTTTGGGAAAAATTATTTTTATGGTGGTATTTGTTGGAATATTGAAATTTTTTTTATTTTTGCACCAATTTCTAAACTTCTTTGTTCAATTCATTAATAAGAGTTTTCATATAATCCACTGTCAATTCAAGTGAAAACTGTACAATTCACTAAATGAAAATGTTTGAAAAGATGACAATTCAGTGGGAGAAAAATGCGTGATGAATTTAATTTTTTCCAATTCTGAAAAAGCAGGCAGATTTTTCTGAGATTGGTAACGATGAAATTTTCAGCTCACTTGTATAGACAACTGATTTAGGAATATACAACTTTCTTTCAATATCAGTTATTTTTGTACTTCGGTTGGAGTAATAATTGAAATTATTTAATACTCCCGTTAACGAAAAGTATAGTTGTGCCCCTTCCAAACAGAGCAAGAAACAAGTTAAAATCAATGGCCCACTGAATGATGAGAAAGTTTTTCTACCTTATTCAGAGGAACTGGGCAAATTTAGAAAATGCAGTTGGTTAGTACCTCTTCCACGAGATGGAGTAACATTTTGTTATTCTGCTCCAACTTAGGAAGAGGAATGGAATACTCTGAAAGAATTCCGATTTCCAATTATGGAATATCATTGATTTTAGGTCGATGATGGCCTCTATCTTGCACTGATAAGTGGCTAATGAGCCTGAAACCGCTCAGCAAGTGTGCCCGTTCCAAAATTGAAAGTCGACTCTTTCAGTTGTATTGCCAATTGCATATGCAGGAAATTTTCTGTGAAGATTCCTGCACTGACGCCTGTCGGATATAATCCAACGCCGATCATGGAATTAGCCACTGGAGTACTTGTTTTCTGATAGGCGTCAGTCCATTCAACCTACTGTCAAGGTATATTTGAGACTGGCTTGAACGTTTAAAGTTCATTTCATTAGATTTGTCTACTGCCAGTCTCCAAGCATAGCCCACTGACTGAAAAGGAACATACAGAGTGGTCCAACGAAAATTATGCACCCTGCTTTTCTCCTTTTTTTGTAACTTAACGCAAAAATGCTCGAACAGGTCAATTTTGCTTTTGAGGGGGACACATTTCAGATGTATGTTTCTTCCTGTACATTCAACCCCCTAGCGAGGGTGAGTAATAACCCTAAAATTTTAAATGGTAAGTGGGGTCGAGTGATATATCATTCGAAAAGGCAAAAAATTATCTTTCCAATGATACCCAATCTGTTGTATTTCACTCAAACATGTAGGTATTATAAAGAAAAACAACTACAACCCAGTACTTTGAAATGTGTAATTGACTTAATAGAATCCTACTTCAGCAAGTGCTGAAAATGTGACCCATTTGCTTTCATACAATAATACACATTTTGTTCAAATCTATTCCTAACATTCTGTAGCATATCAGGTGTTATACTTCTGCACTCTGCTAAGTGATAAAATGCCGTTTTTTCCGCATTTTCATTCACACCAAAAATATCGAGTAAATGTTCTTGCTTTTTTTATAACTATTCAAGTAAATACAACAAATTAGGTATCATTGGAAAGGTAATTTTGTGCCCTTTCAAATGATGTATCACTCGACCCCAGTTTCCATTTAAAATTTTAGGGTTGTTACTCACCCTCGCTAGGGGGTTGAAGGCACAGGTAGAAATATACCTCTGAAATGTGTTTTCTTCAAAAGCAAAATTGACCTGTCCGAGCATTTTTGCGTTAAGTTACAAAAAAAAGGAAAAAAGCAAGGTGCATACTTTTTGTTGGACCACTCGATATAATATTTGATTGATCCAAATCATCTAAAGGAACAATTCGTTTAGGCCAGTCTAAACTTCCTACACGTTGGATTATACCTACAGTGTAGGGAGTTGCAACTGACTTGAATGAATTGTTCCTTTATATGATTTGATTTATAGCCAGTCTTCAAGGATGCCCACTAACTATATGTGAAAAGAAATTCATTGTGTCTATGCATGATCTGTACATCTACTTAAAGAATTAATTTTGTTATTCACTACCTAACAGCTATTGTAGTAGCGAAATATGTCGTGATATTCTGAAAATGGAGTTCATGAAGATGAAAGCGTAGGGTGTAGTTTGTGACATCACCATGGATCTTCATCAAGTAACGGCTGAATAGAGTAGAAAACCAAAACTTTTCTGCTGATTCTGTTGAAAGATTATTCAAAAAAATCAAACGATAAGAGAAAATTTTCAACTTTTGGTTGAACTGATTGAACTAGGGACATCTATCTGTACCTGCAACGATGATAAAACTTCGTATTTGAATATATCATATGTTTCTATTCATAATGGCTACTTCACCTTTCCTTTGGAGTTTACAGTTTGTTATACAGGGTCAGTATAAAAAATCATGAATTTGGGAATGTGTCATCATATAATTAACGCCCTGTATGAGACATTGGGATGAAACTTGGTACATAGGGGTTTGAGATATACTCAAATCGAATGGAATATCCACTTTTCTGATAAAAACATGCTCAATGGTCCTTTTCGAAATTTCGACCCATTGAGCAGGTCATAGTAGGCTTTGAAAAGAGGAAAAATCTATTTGTATCAATATATTTGAATAGAACTCGTCGAGTACCATAATTTGAATTTTCATTTTTCAAAATCGGTTTATGAGTTTCAAAATGGGTTTCAAAAGTGTTGCGGTTTGAAATCGAACAAACTGTATGCATGCCTGTAGTGACTTTATGCATTTTCATAATCAATTTCGTTTTTAATTGAATGGAAATATCTTTAGAAAAGATTGACTTTTTAGAAATGAAAGTTTTGGCTTTCTAGTTCTTCATTTTAATACATTTTCCTATCCAAAAATCAATTTTTCATATCTATTTCTATAATGGTAAGAGTTTAACTTTCTTTGAAGTATGGATTTCGGTATCATTAGGTTTAAAAAACTCACCTTCGTCGAAACATAGTGCCATATTTCCTATATATGGGTAACAAGTAGACGAAAACAACAGTACTCCTTTGCAAATTGGTAAACAACTATCAGGTACCCCACGACGACTGCAACACGGGGCATGGTTCCTACCCCCTACTTCGCATTTGAGCAATTTGTGGAATTCTCCGCTGCAGACGCTCGCCAATGCCTTGATATCTGACATTTTTACACCCTCAGAGCAGAGAGGCATACACAGTGTGTTGAGTTGGGCTTTTTCGCAGCAAGCGGTGGTGTTGTAAAAATAACGCTGCTCGATTCTCTGTCGTACACCGAACAACAACTGGTCATGTGACAAATCGCTACGCTCTCATTGGCTGGTGTCATGAAACCGGTAGTCTGCCGTGACGTCACGTCTGTCTGTCTCGCTATAACGACGCTTCATCTATAGGAAGCTTTAACAAATTGTCTCTGGTCTAGATTCTTGGCCATACTGGTCTGGAAGGCAATGATGCTGCTGAGTCCCTTGCGAAGGACGTTGCTGTAAGCAGCTTCATCGGACCAGAACCTGTCATTGACATCGCTTCAGATATTGCCATACAAACATCGAACATCTGGATGGCAAGAATTTCCAAGGACTTTTGGCAAAATCTTCCAGGATTGGCGCACTCCGAGACAATCATATACCATTCAAAGCTTGAAACCAAACAGTTGGATTACAGTAGAGATGAACTACGATGTCTGGCAGGCCTCCTCACAGGTCACTATCGTCTGAACCATCATATAATGATAATAATAATACCGTCTTTATTATTTTCTAATACATTCAAATCAAATTAATCATGTACAGTTCATTTATTATAAGAAGACAAGAGGCGAAGTTCAATTTACATGATGACAAGTCATCAGTCAATTGCTTTTCCACTCAACCGCAAAAATGTCGCCTAGTACGCAAAGGAATAAACAAAAAGAATTTTTAAATATCTTAAAATATTGGTAGTTTGGAGTTTGGTAGAGCTATACTCGCACCATCTGACCTGAAAGATCTCTCACCATTCGAACTAATAAGCTTCTTTAAGAAGCTGGGTTTATTCGGTCGAATTTGAGTATGTTGATGTTTGAGGAAAGAACATGTTTTTTTCGTTAACCAGCTGTCGCAACCCTTCAGAAGTCGAACCTTGTACGACCCAAGATCTAACGAGGTCTTGCCTTTCAACGTGTGATTCCTAACACGGGTTGGACCATAGCAAGTGATAATCGATCGTTCAGCCTGCGGCTTGAACCACTGATTAACACGGCGGTCGATTTGAGTGAATGAACAAATCACCCATGTCGAACCGACGGGCTACCGACCGGTGTAAGCCACAATAAACCCTTGCATGTTGCGATGATGGGTCGAACAAACTCGCCCACTTTTGACCTAACCTAACTCAATATCCTTTAGACCTAAATGAAAGTGAAGGTGTTCTCACCGATTCCTTCCACGATACAAGCAAGTGTTTGTTCGGTGAATGATGAACAGGAAAAGTGTGTTCTGATGTCGTCGGTGATCGCTGTATATTCTCCTCTGCAGACGTCCTGACATAGGAAGAATGAAAATATGTTATGCAGAAATAACAGTTATAAAAATTGATATGTTAGATATATATTTTTGAAAATAAATGTTTTCACATGAAATTTTTCTACATTGTTTGAACATTCTGTTCGATTGTTTGATTGGTAATATGCTTATTGTTCAAGAATAGAATTCTTGATACAAACACAATGTCATAAATGAATATTAATATAAACATGAAGTATAAGATGTGCAGTATAAATGTATAAAATGTAAATGATTGAAATAAAATATGAACTATATATACATACATATGCAAAGGTTATATGAGAACTTGGACAACGATTAAAATATGACTTTCACACACAGTAAAATCGCAATTTCCACACATTCTAAATTACAAGGCATTGTAAAAATATTCTTATAGGTCATAATAGGCTTTTCAACTTAATAGTTTTGTACGTTTATTTCTGAATATGATAAAAGGAGTCTCTTTGATTTCATTGAGAAGTTTATTGTATATCCTGATTCCATTATATATCAACATGTTTTGAACCAAACATTTTTTTGGAATTGGTAGATTCAGTTCATTTGACTGCCTTGTGTGGTATGTGACTGTAGCTGTAGATTCATAGTTCTCCCTATTTTTATGTATAATCGATACGATTTCCAATATGAATATTGAAATAACCGTAAGGATTCTATGTTTCCGAAAAAGGGGTTTACATGAATCCCGCCTTTTTGCTTCACATGAGTACTCAATAGTTCTTTTCTGCAAGACAAAAACCGACTCCATAAGTTGCAAACACCCCAAAAAGGTTCACCACCGTACCTTAAAGAGTCTATTAAGGCACAGTAAACTACTTTCCCGGCAGCAAACCCAAGTTCCTTCGAGATATTTCTCAGTGCGAAACATCCTGATGCCAATTTTTGTTGATGTGTGCAATATGCTGAGAGAATTTTAAATTTTCATCTAAATCATTCCAAAAAATTTCAAAGTGGAGTTATCTTTTATTGTGTTCAATGATAAAAGATTCGAGTCAAACCAATTCTTCACTTTTTTCATATCTTGACACATTTTGTTATAGAATTTGTTCTTGTCCTTGCCAAGCCACAATAATGTGGTGTCGTCAGCAAATAAGGTGAAGCTTTCTGTAATCGATATGTTGGTTGAATCAGAAATCTGTTAACAGAAACAGTAAACGACCTAATACAGAGCCTTGAGGTACTCCTCAATAACTGAGAAGACGTTGGCGAGATAAATAATTTATCTCGCCAACGTCCGAGTTAGATGACGTTCTTACAAATTGTACAAATCAGAAAAATATGGACTATTCCAAATATGACTGTTGTCTCTAAAACCATATCTTCAAAACTCCAAATAAATTTGGTATATAAATGGTGGTTGATAAAATCATATATTTTTTCCTGACAAGAAATATAGGAGTTTTATTTCCAAAATCTCATTTTTCTCACTGAAGTTGAATTCATTCTCAGTGTTGCTTTGAGATTAGCTCGCTGTTTTTATGCTGATACTGATATTTCCATTAATCCCAAGAAACATACAAGTTTATAGTAGAAATCAAAGATGATATAATATCAAGAAATAACAATTATGAAAATAAATACGTAGTAGAGAGACAATTTATATAAATTGATGAAATGGTATCCAGAAAGAAGAAAACAATACCTAAAAATTGACGCCAGAGTCAGAAACTTTGAAACTGTAGAAGTCCCATAAGGTAAAGTATTGGGCCCCATTTTATTCATCATATACCTAAATGATTTACAAAATGTTGATACAGGAGGCAACATGATCAGCTTCGCAGATGACAACGCAATTTTCTATTCTAGTGAAAATTGGCAACAGTTGTTTGGCAGAGCCAAGAAAGATTTTCTCAAAATACTCCAAATTATACACGATTAATTCTGATAGGAAAAAATGTAAATGTTTTCGGTTTTCAATCATCAAAACCAATGTGCGGATATTTCACATCTATCAATTACCGACAATAATAACACCTTCACTATACCCATAATCAAAAAATAAAATATTTGGGAGTCTACTAAGATAGCCACAAGAAATGGGACACGCACATAAAAAAAGTCATTTTCAAATAGAGAAGCCTCCTAGCAAAGTTCGAACATATGAAATTTCTTGAAATAAGATACTTGAGAATTTTATAGTTCGCAATGGTGGAATCACAATTGAGTTACGAAATAATAGCTTGGGGAGGTGCCTACAATAAAAAAATGAACGGACTCGATGTACTCCAGAAATGGATACTAAGGATAAAGATTGATTATATTCCAGTGATGAAATTTATCAAGTAGCAAAAGTTTCAGATACTAAACAATTATTCTTGAAGGTCTTGATAGTGAAGCAGACAAAACAAAAGATACAAAAATTATTATATGCACACATACTCGGAAAGGATAATGTGGGGCTCTGCCAGAGGTGACCAACTCTTCCCTTGCTACTCGTGGGAACACACATGAATGAAACAACAGAAAAAACAAAAAGAAAAACTAATCCCGAGGCTGGACAAAAGTGCTCACCTCAATCTCAGGCGATGACTGGGAATGAACAGAAATGTCCACCCCAATCTACCGCTTGGAATGAGGCTGGACATAGCATATCACCTCCAATGGCAAGTGCACTTTCTGCTGCGGGTGTCAAGAGCTCCACCTTTAGTAAAGGCAAAGAACCGGTTGCTCCTGCAGGAAAGCTCCCTCACTTGTGCACCTCCACTGAGGGAATCCCAAGAAGGTTGAAAAAGCCCCGCAATGACAGTAATGTTGCTGTACCTTCCAAAACATTCGCGGAGGCCCACCGTGAAACAACTCAAGGTTTCCAAAGAGAGTGTGTGTTCGGCCAGTCTTGGCCTACACCTGCCAATATGAACGAGATAGCTCTTAGTGACCTGTTCACCTTTCTGGAAAAGACAGGATGGACGATGACCTAGGAGGAAAACTCATCGGAAGGATGTACAATGTGTCACATGTGGCATAAGTGCCTACTCTACAGATACCAGAACAATCCGCTTCCATATTTTTTAGTAACATCATTCATGAAATTTCCACTTGGGAACTTACCTTACTTTCAGTCCTAAAAGTTAACCTGCTGCTGGGCATACCGATACCGTGCACATTCACGGCTTCCACATAAATCTCGTAATCTGTTTCACTTTCGAGGCCCCCCAAAATATGGGGACTTTGAACTTTCTGTATAGTTTTATAATCCTCAGTGTCGTCATCAACCAGCCTCTGATGAAGATTGTAGTATAGTACGGTATCTCCCAGTGTTTTCGGTAAAGACCAATGGAGAACTGCGAATTCAGTTTCTATGTTGGTGACGTAAAGACCAGTTGGAGCACTGGGTAGAACACCGTAGCCTTGAAGAAGGCAGTTGTTGTATTCTCCCATGTATCGAAGACACCTAGAAACAAATCACAAAAGGACTTTATAAATAAGGAAACACATTTTTTAACCGAGTTAATTTGAACGTTTTCAACATTCAGTTGTTTTTCCAATTTTTTTTTTTAGCTCCAACCACAGAGGGTTATTAGCTGAATGTCATTTACAAATATGTATCATTATTACAATGTTATAATGTCATTTATTGTTGGTCAATACATTTATGTCACTGGGGAAATTTAATAGTTGAGTATGGTCCGATTTATCACCTAACGCTAGTTGCACACACACCGATTTTGGACGGCCGACTTTGTACCGGTCGTCCAAATTCCAATAGTGAACCACATGTGGGAACGGGACCTGGCACACACGCCGACTGGTGATCGTCGCCGGTAAAATACCGATGAGCAGCCGTCCACTGCCATTGTATCGTCGGCAGTACCGGGAAGTAGTGGCGTACATGACTGAATACACTCTTTAATACTCACCGGTTTGTTACCGACCATTCCAGTCTCGAATGCTTGGAGAAATTGTAGTTACTACGCATTAACTTCATTTTGGTAATGCGTGCTAATTACGACAACAAAGCAACTGATTGTTTGGCCGATAAAAATCCGGTGAGTGTTCAAGCACCCGCTACCAATAAAATATCGGCCTATTTTGTACTGGCCGTCCAAAATCGGTGTGTGTGCAACTAGCGTTACGCTAGTGCAACTAGCGTTTTATTGGTAGCGGTTGCTTGCACACTCACCGGATTTTTATCGGTCAGACAATCAGTTGCTTTGTTGTTGTAATTAGCACGCACTACCAAAACGAAGTTGATGCGTAGTAACTACAATTTCACCGAGCATTCGAGACTGGAATGGTCGGTAACAAACCGGTGAGTATGCGAGAGTGTATTTAGTCATGTACGCCACTACTTTCCGGTACTACCGGCGATACAGTGGCAGTGGACGGCTGCTCACCGGTATTTTACCGGCGACGATCACCGGTCGGCGTATGTGCAAGGTCCCGTTCCCACATGTGGTTCACTATTGGAATTTGGACGACCAGTACAAAGTCGGCCGTCCAAATTCGGTGTGTGTGCAACTAGCGTAATATAGTTTGGCATTCCTCGTTTGAGTATAGTGGGCAATCGGTTGAAAAATATGGGATAATCAATTCAGAATCACATATATAACACTTTGAAACTTGTTTCCCTGAGAGTAGAAAAGTGTGTGTGAGAAATGTGTCTCCGATTCGTAGGTGAGATGAAATAGTTCGTGTTCGCCGTTTCTTCTGAATATCCGTAATTTGCCCGATTTCTCTGAACAAGGAAGAAAAACTTTCTTATTAGTCAGTGGGCTATGATTGAAGACTGGCAATAAACAAATGTAAAGAAATTAACTTTAAACTTTATTGAGAGGAATAGGGCAAATTAAAGATATGCAGTTGGTGAGTTCCTCGTCCACGAGATGGAGTGACATTTTGTGATGTTCGCTCCAACTTCGGAAGATGAATGAAACACTCTGAAAGAATTTCGATTTTCAATTTTGGAATATCATTGACTTTAGATCGATGATGGTCACTATCTGGCACTGACGAGTGGCTAATGAGCCCGAAACCGGTCTGCAAGTGTGCCCGTTCCAAAAATGAAGGTCGACTCTTTCAGTTGTATTGCCAATTGCATAAGCAGGAAATATTCTTTGAAGATTCCTGCACTGACGCCTGTCGGATATAATCCAACGCCCTTAGTGGTATAAGCCAGGGAAGTAGTTGTTTTCTGATAGACGTCAGTCCATTCAACGTACTGTGTAGGTATATCGAGACTGGCTTGAACGTTCAAAGTTCATTTCTTTGGAAAATAATATCAATGGCAACACAATCAACAGATAGTTCAAAATAACCCCCTCCCCAATTCAATAATACAGTCTACTTTCGAGAGAGTTCCGTACACTATTCAAAATGTCCGGAGTCAGCAATCCCGTACAATTATCTGTCGCAGGTCCAGAATTTCAGCTCAATCAGTTGGAAATAACTACTTCATATTTCAGTAGATTTGATTTCATTGTGATTAAATGCATTGCAATCCCAATCAATTCTGGTAAAATATCTCCCGATTTATTTTTCTAAATGGCCACATCTTCATGAAAGTCAAGGATATCATTGTGAATCGTCTGATAGCACTCATTAATCAGAAATGTATAGATGTTATTAGTAATATAGCAACAGGAATTCCAGCGCAAAATCCCATGTATTTTCTCATGGAGCTTAATTCTGGACCTTTTTGGACCTCAGGCCCACTTCACACGGAAAGGGCAAAGGTGAGCGCCTCGAGTCTGCCAGACGTCCATTGTGTGTAAGCTGAGACTTAGCCTTCAAAGCCCACTTCAGACCTCCTCTATACTTCAAGGTCGTGCGTCGATGACGTCACACGTTTCTCTCTTCCACTCACTGAAGTTTCTCTCTGAAATACTTACCAGCTACGCACGACTTGAAGTGTGACAGAATCGGTGTTGTTCATCTACTGATTTGAATTTCCCGCTGTACGCGCGGTAGCTAATTGGTTGACTGTATGACGGTAAAAGTGGAGAAGTGGAGGTGGTCTGAAGTGAACTTTGAACGCTAAGGCTCAGTTCACACATAATGGACGTCTGGCAGAGTCAAAGCGCTGACCTTTGCCCCTTCGGTGTGAAGTGGGCCTGAGGTCCAAAAAACGCCAAAATGGACCTTTGCAAATTTGCACGTGTTTTTCCATAAGGAATGAGCCAGAACTCTTGCAGCTATGTTACTGTTATTATTTCAAAGATAACTTAAATTTCCAATGTGATACACAAATTAAGAAAAACGAGGGTCACTTGGTACCCCTTAAAAATACGTAATTTCTTTTATCCTGAGCTGAAAAATCAGTTTCAGCTTCATGTCCAGAGTCGAAGTGGACATTATTTCCTAGAAAATATATATATATTTTTTTTTAATTCAGACAAAACAAAAACTTGACTTGTTGAAATGATAAACATTAGAGAAACTTTGTGACTCGGCCAACTTTATTGAAAGCGTTCATTTGTAGAGTGTACATATGCCATAATTTTATCTGTCCCATGATCTATCCGTCTTCTCAACAATGATCTCTTTCAGTATCATATTTTTTTTTGCTTCCGCTCCTTTCACTCAGAAGCTTTGAACCAAAATAATTTTGTTTTGAAAAGGCATAATGGAAACTCCTCATGTTGTCGAAATGACAGAAAACATTTCCTTCCTTGGTTACGTCCAAACAATTGTCTGATCCAAATAGACTTCATCATCTATAATATTGATGTCTTTGGATAAGGAGCCGACCAGACACATCAAAATATCCGGTGTGATTTGCAACTTTCCATTCATGCGAATCAACATTTTCTTGGATGACGAACATCCATGAAACGATATTGCGCTGTTTTGCAGTGTAGTCCTATAAACACTCGAATGTTTCTTTCATGTGCGATCTTTCGAACCCTACTTGGGGGGTCGAAATCAACAAATTGAAAAACATTTCTGTAGACACTTTGAATTCGTTTCTCTTATGGAAACGATAAACGAGGTACTGTTTTGCGTCAAAATAATATTCGCTGAAGTAGTTCTTTTACATGTTTGCCATTACATTGTCCTTTCCAAAGAAAGAGTTGGGAAAAGCTGAATTTTGTTAATACCCGTAAAGCAGTTCCATGCATAAAATGCCTAGGCAGTTAACATCTCAAAGGCGCTCATTGAAAATTCAGAGAAAATGAATAAATTATATTACTATGTATACCACTACCTCAAACTGTTCTAAGAGAACTGCATAATTTTCTCTTACAAACTGTTTTCCAAGCACTCTCTTTGAATATTCAAGACGGCTCATTTAAACTTATTTCATTATAACTGGGTTCAGTTTTCGGACCGGTCATAAATATATATGGTTTGTCATCAAAGGATTTACTGACCTTATTTTCTATTCACATCCTATTCGTGATTGAAGAAAAGTTTTCGGTTTATCTGTCAATATTCATTGATATATTTCTCATGATAAGACAAAACTAGAATTACTCTTTGATTGATTGATTGATTGATAGCACTTTATTTCCAACAGGCATTCACCCAATTACAGGAAATGTACAAAGGTGTTGATGAAAATGTTTGCAAAACAGTATAATTAGTTAAAAAAAAGATTGCTAGAACTGAAAGAAAAATAAGTATAAATAGAAATATATCATAAGAAGCGAAAAGAAAAAGTGATCACAGTTAAAAGGTTCTAGTGAGAATACATTTTAAAATAAAACTTTGAGAACTGTGATTAATATCGCACATATCACATATTGAATTATAGTTGTTACAAAGTATTGACACTGGTGCTTTCAAACTGTTATTTGTTCTGACAAGATCACAGTAAATTGTCGTATTGTATCTGAAACTATGGCGTGGGGTGCGGAAGTTGATCATTTGTAAAAGAGGGGACACACGACATCTTATTGTTGAGCAGTTTGTGAAGAAACGAGATTGTGACAAAAAGTCGACGTGTATTCAGAGATATTACATTAAATTGATTCAGAAGGATAGAATAGTCGGTTCTCTCTGAGGATATATTCCTGTGACCTTGAAAGACAGATATTTAAAAAAAAATTTTTTGAACAGCATCAATATGATGTATGTGGCAATTGTAAATTGGATACCATATTAACACGCCATATTCTAGTTTAGACCTCACATAGGCATCAAACAGTGTTATAATCTTTTAAAAACGAGAGATACAATGCAGAATATGAAAAAGAACGTTGGTACAGTGCAGTCGAGTGTTTGGGAATAAGTAGCATATTATTTTTCCTTGTGTTCACTCTATTGAGGTTTTTGAACATGGTAGGTTTATTGAGGAGATACGTAGGTTTGCCAGACGTTATAACTTTGTGTGTCAAGGTAAGTGAATGGCGTTTTCGACAGTTATCTAATTTGAGCCATCCTGTTTCTTTAAACTTCATACTAATATGTTCAAATTTACGTATTACATGATGAAAAAGTGAACGGGAATTTTGAAATCTTAGGTCAACATCAAACCTAGTACCTAGGTTTTTGATTTCACTTAAAAAGGTTAACGGCATACCTGCTAACCTGATTTGAAAATTTTGTGTTAGCTGTTCACGTTTTGATTTCGTTCCGAGAAGCAAGTGTGAGATTATGTGCGGTTGAGATATTGTATAAAGATGTCAAGTCTTCTTCAATTTGAGAAGTTGCTGAAAGGATTGAATTGCTCGTGAAGTCTAGGTATAATTGAGTATCATCAGCATAGTGGTGGATAGTACAAAACTTCAGACACTCATGAAAATCCGAGATATAGATGGAAAAAAGAATAGGTCCCAAGATTGATCTTTGAGGCACTCCGTAATTCACTATTTGGGCATCTGACTTTAATGAACCTGCCACTACCGACTGACATCGTTGCGATAAATAGTTGCGAATAAGCCCACAAGCTTCCTGAGAAAAACCGTAGTATAGAAGTTTATCACACAAAACATTACGATCAATAGTATCGAACGCCTTACTTCAGTCTAGTAGAATCAGGTAAACTAGTTGGCCTTTATCAATTGAAGTGAGAATGTCATCGGTGATATTTAGTACAGCTGTAGTGGTGCTATGAGATTTTCGAAAACCAGATTAAACCGAAGTTATAATATTATTTGTTTCAACAAAATGACATATTTGATCTTTCAAGATTAGCTCAAACACCTTAGATAGAATCAAGAGTATGCTTATTGGCCTGAGGTAACAGAATTCAGTGGGATTAATACGCTTTGGTGTGGGAATCACGTTAGCTCGCTTCCAAGCCGCAGGGAAGGTACAAGTAGAAATAGATAAATTAATAATATAAGTAATATGGTCAATAAGTTTAGTTTCTACATAAGAAACATGAATTGAAGACATGAATTGAATTTTTGGCCAAACTTAAATTGGTGACTGTCATTCCAACACAGAAAACTTTCTATAAGGATATCTGCAAAATCATTCAATCAAACACAATACACAAATGAAACAATTTCTGAAAACAATTGACATCAAAGCCTATGTTCATCAGTAATTCATAGATAACAAAGACTCAGTTGAAGAACAGAGATGATGAGTGTTTCAAAGCTGAGAATGAAGATTACTGAGCCTGTTTTGAAAGTTATGAATGAGATGGAAGCCGATGAAGAACTTGGAAATGAAGAGTCTCATGAAGATGAGACGACTGATTCGTAACTAAAATAGTAATTAATTTTCATTTATCATTGGTTCATGGGTTCCTAGATTTTCTAACATTTTGTTTTTGAGTAATAACATTATAACTTTGATCAGTCGATTTATAGAATTTTTTGTGGATCGTTTTCCAGCTCTTCCTACTGTCTGTAAGTGGTTGAAGCGAAATAGCTACGAATCCAAAAGACAAAACAAAGTTCGCGGACAATAGTTTCAATACAGTGTTGTAGAATTTGAAAGACTTGTTTTGGGTTGTACGAATTCCAGATGAGAACCTCGCGAAAAAATTGACACAATAGATAGCTGGAAAAACAAAAATGTATGAAACTCACTTGAAGTAGTTGAAGTCTAGGCTGGACACATTTCCTGTGCACAATTGTTGGCATATTTCCGGCAATCCTCTCGCTTTGCAACATGGAGTGTGGTCTATACCATTGGCCAGACATCCAAAAGTGTCAGCTGCCCAAGGAGCACAGATCATCAGGTCTGTGATTTCAACGGAAGACACCACTGTTGGATCGCATAGCTTACTCCTGCACGTTTTGTGAACGATGCCTTTATTGGTGCAACAACTTTTGACGTCAGGCAGGTTAGGAGCTTGTCCAATTCTTGTGTTTTTCATATGGCCGGTGGTGAGGGTTAGAGTACGCATTGTGTAACTTGGAAGACTCGTACCATGACGATTCACAGCGGTAACTGGAATGAAAAAGCGATAATGAAAATTGATAAATAAATCATTCAAAGTGACACCATTGAAGTTGGCAACATATGGATTTTTTCTTCAGTGGTAAGTATTATTCAACATACGAACTCACCTGAAATTTCATACATCGTAAACGGAGTCAAGTCCTGTAAAATAGTCATATTCTGACTGGCTGGCACTTTCACTAAAACTCTTTTTCTCACTAAGTTAGTATTTTTCGTTGTTTCTTCTTCAGGTGTCAAAATTCGCTCATCAAAACTCTTCAAAGACGTTACGTTCACATCGTACTCAGTAATTGTTTCTGTGTTCGCTACAGGCCAAGACCATTCCACTTTGATGGATTTCTCAGTTAGAGCTTCCACTTCGAGAATTTCAGGTGGACTTGGGAGAAGCTCTGCAAAGTACAAATAGAAATTATTCACACACTCATTCTAAAGATATGAAAATGAGCCAAAACTTAGTTTTTCATATAAAATACCCTGAATTTCAGGATAGTTTTGAAATTCCGAGATGATTCCGACTCATTTCTTTAAAACATGCTCTGTGTTCAAACAATAACCGTTCACAAGATATTTCAGTTTTTCGTGAAAAAATCAAACAAGCGAATGCCCACCTTAAAACTCCTGGGTTCGGAACCTCCAATAAAAATAGATATGTGAAGTTTATTAGAGCTGATAATTTGACGTCATGAATGTTATTGTAGGAGTTCAGATGAATAAATGATGGATGAAAAATGTTAATGTTCAATGTTATATAACAAAGCAAACATTCAAAATATCACATTGTCTCTTCACCATGAAATATAAAACTATTCCAATATACATTCTAAAACATTTCTGTTAACTTCCGGCTACTTATCAACTCTCCTCATCAAATTTTCATTCACAGCACGGAATTCGAAAAGAATTCTCAAATGGAATCCATGACAATGCTTAACATTCTGTAGCAATGAAAATATTCTTGGACAGTCAAGCGGCGTTGGAAGCCCTTGTCTCTTATCGAGCAAAGTCTAAATTCGTAGCAAATTGCCAAAATGGACCTCTTCGGCGTACTGTACGTGAGGATGTGACTATCATTAACGAAGATGTCACTCAGTGCCTTTCTGGCCGAAATCTTTGTTTTTTCTTTGTCAATGAATTCTGCATTTCTTCCCCTCTCATTTGACGTGCTGTACGTGACGATGCGACTATTATTAACGAAGATGTCGCTTGGTGCCCTTCTGGCCGCAATCTCTGTTTTTTTCTTTGTTGTATTTGACACATTCATCAATGACAAATAATGCTGCCCTTCTGGCATGTTAGATCCCACGAAAAAATATCAAACCCTCCTAACCTTTCATGTTGCGCGCACGCCATCAATGTTTTTTTTCCATCATCTCCTGATGATGCCAACGTGGATGTTGTTTTCTTGCATGTTGGCAGCCATGTTTTTTCTTTAGCGCTGTATATTCCGCTCAATGTCTGCCGCCATGTTTTTTTTTCTTCAATGCTGAACGCCATGTTTCTCTTCTTTAACGTTGCACACCCTGTATACTTTGACATCGGTCACATTTTTTTCCTCAACCGCTGGACGTCTTTTTTTTTCTTCAACGCTGGACGCCATGTTTTTTTTCTTTAACGCTGCACACACCTTGTATACTTTGACATCGTTCATGTTTTTTCTTTAACGCTGGACGCCATGTTTTTTCCTTAAACGCTGCACACCCTGTATATCACGATGGTAGTCATGTTTTTTTCTTTAACGCTGGACGCCATGTTTTTTTCTTTAACGCTGCACACACTCTGTATTTCATGTCTTTTCCATCAACACCCTGTATACCCATTTATTATTGTTCTCATTCCAAACGAGCTCGAATCCTCATCTTTCAAACCGCGATAACGCTGCTCGATTCTCTGTCGTACACCGAACAACAACTGGTCATGTGACAAATTGCTACGCTCTCATTGGCTGGTGTCATGAAACCGGTAGTCTGCCGTGACGTCACGTCTGTCTGTCTCGCTATAACGACGCTTCTTCTATAGGAAGACCTAACAAATTGTCTCTGGTCTAGATTCTTGGCTACACTGGTCTGGATGGCAATGATGCTGCTGACTCCCTTGCGAAGGATGGTGCTGTAAACAGCTTCATCGGACCAGAACCTGTCATTGGCTTCGCTTCAGATTTTGCCATACAAACATCGAACATCTGGATGGCAAGAATATACAAGGACTTCTGGCAAAATCTTCCAGGATTGGCGCGCTTCGAGGCGTTCATATACCATTCAAAGCTTTAAACCAAACAGTTGGACTACAGTAGGGATGAACTACGATCTCTGACAGGCCTCCTTACAGGTCACTGTCGTCTGAACCATCATATGCAGAGACTCGGACTGTCAGAAGACAGTGTGCCTGCCCCCTGTAGACCAAATCAGGTTTTCGGAGTTTGATAGAGCTACACTCTCACCATCTGACCTGAAAGATCCCTCACCTTTCAAATTAATCAGCTTCTTTAAGAAGCTGGGTTTATTCGGTCGAATTTGAATTGATGTTTGAAAAAGGAACATGTTTTTCCGTAGCTGTCGCTACCCTTCAGAACCAAAACCCTCAGAAGTCTAAACTTGTACGACCCAAGGACTAACGAGGTCTTGCCTTTTAACGTGTGATTCCTAACACGGGTTGGACCATAGCAAGTGAAAATCGATCGTTCAGCCTGCGGCTTGAACCACTGACTAACACGGCGGTCGATTTGAGTGAATGAACAAATCACCCACGTCGAACCGACGGGCTACCGACCGGTGTAAGCCACAATAAACCCTTGCGTGTTGCGATGGTGGGTCGAACAAACTCGCCCACTTTTGACCTAACCTAACTCAATATCCTTTAGACCTAAATGAAAGTGAAGGTGTTCTCACCGATTCCTTCCACAATACAAGCAAGTGTTTGTTCGGTGAATGATGAACAGGAAAAGTGTGTTCTGATGTCGTCGGTGATCGCTGTATATTCTCCTCTGCAGACGTCCTGACAAATATCCGGGACCCTCTCCTGAATACAACAAGGTACGTGATTTCTTCCGTCTGCCATGCAACTCACAATCGCTGGAAAATCAGTTTCGCATTGTTCAGGATCCTGACCAGTTGTACCTGAAAAATAATCTGGCATTTTATATTCAAATAGTTAGATAATGATACACTAACGCCATCATAACTCCTTGAATTCAAGGAAATTATTTACAATGATTTTTGTATTGGACATGCAGAAATGATCAAGATGAAATGAAAAACAGAAAAATTGTATGAAGTGTTTCAAAAAGTATGATGAGTGAAAATTGAAGTTCTCAAGTTCTTGTAAATATGAGATGAACCATGGATGTTGCTTCAATTATTTACAAAATTATAAATCTACTGATATCACTTTCCCTCACCAGAACAAAAATGCTGTTTTCTGACACGCATTTCGATAAAGTTAGAGAAATTGGTTGTCAATAGATTCATTTCATTCCAGAGATTCCAATTGCTACTTATCAAGTACAGAATTTTGTCATTCACCACTTCCATCAGTGAAGAAATTCTGAATATCATTTATTGTAAGTGAAGTTAACCTTTGTACATTTCTTTGTTTGTAATTTTTGAACCGGAAGATGACGAATAGGCCGAAACGTACGTCTTTGTTGTATGACTGAATATCAACAGTCATGCTGTATCTTAAATGATGTCATTAATTTTCGCTGAGTTTGATAATAATTCAATAGAGCTGAACTTTATCGAATCAGAGTCAGTGGCGTGAAATGGAGATTACGCAACTGACATTCAAAAATGTGTTGACAAAAATTCTGTTTGGATAGTAGATGGAAGACGTATTCAAACTGCTAGTTGATTTGTAGGTATTCATGAAAAATCAATAAGTCAAATGCACAAAATGCGAACTTAAGCGTGAAACACAAGCATTAGGTATTTTTCTCATCAAGTGCCGTAAACTTTCGAAAATTTCTGGCGTGTTGCGTATGACATTAGAATTATGTAGGTATAATTTTATTTCTCAAGTCATTTTCATCGACAACTGGTGGCGCAAAACAAGCTAATGAGTATATCCCCAAAATGATTATTCCAGAGGGTTCGAGTCTGGATACCTTGGTGGCCATGGTTGAGGACTCCAAAATCTATCCACTGGTGACCTAAAGTATTTTACTTGCAAAGGAACATCCACAATTTTGGCAATGTGCTTTTTATGAATTGTCTTTTCGTCACAACACTGAGTCGAGGAGAAAAAAAAATGCGGCCCTATGAGATGATCACCAAAAGTTCTCGCCCAGAAGTTCACCGAAAATTCCTGCTCAACTCCTTTTTCTACAGTAGCATAGAGAGTTCATGGTAGCATCCATTGAAAAACTTGCCTCAACTTAGAATAAAACTACACAATTGAAATTTTGATTTTGCACAATTATTCGAAGGAATCGTTGACAAAAATTCAATCGTCTGAGAAAATCTCGCGGTAAGAATGCCTGCAACTGTTGTTTGTGGTATGTATACAATAAAAGGTCCAGTTTCGAACAGTCTATAGACTGTTCCAATAAACAAATCTGAACTTGAACATTCTGAATTCCATATTTTTTATGCCCGACCTATATTAGAAGTGCATACTCCTCTGTTTAATGGGTATGGTACATTGTCTGTCTTAATATACTAGACGGCACCCCTTGAGGTAGCGAGCAACTGAAAATAATTTTAGTCTTTTAAAGAAGAGCGACCTATATAAACCTGTGAAGTACCTATTTTTCACAGTCGTATGAAGTTCTCTGTGACTCAAAGGGTAAATTTTATCAGTGGTTGACTTCCCCTAGAACAAACAGTAAGAGCGTTTATAGACGCTTATTCCGGAATGAAATTCAGTAACATGTGTCCGGAATCCAGAAAAAAATTTCTTTATATTCATTATAAAGTCTCTTAATACTGATATTCAACGAATGTTTCTCCAATTCGTTGAAATAATGTATTAGATATATATAATATATATTGAACTACGA